CACATGTTTAAATATATTCTTTACATGTATTTTATATAGCTTTTGACATTTTTTTTATAACCTTTTCAGCTAATTACTAATACAAAAATTGATAAAAAGTTTCAAAAAAACTAATAATTTTAACGCAAAGTTAAGACAAACAAAAGACAAAATATATTTCGGACATTTTTTACTAAGTATATTCTGCATTAGTATAATATGAATTAGATAAATGCCAAAATAAATATGTTGGCATACGTTAACTCTAAAGTAGATTGATATATTCGTGTTTTTTTTCTTATCTTCTGCTGAATTATTAAATAAATAGCTTAAGTAAAAAGCATTGATATTATAGGAGCCAAAAAATTTAAGTTGACTTTTAACATATCCACTTTGTTATGCTATGTGCATATAATGCTTAAACAGTGAAAAAATAAACAGTTAATTATATCTCTAATAAAACTTAGATCATTATTTTCTGCCACTTTTTTTAACCTAATGAAAACAAGTAAAAAACAAATGTAATGTGTGGATCAGGCCGGTTCAGGGTCATTAAGGCAAAAAAGTTACTGTTTACTATTAGCATTCTATAACTATCAGAAAAAAATAATTTAACAATAACAAATTTTATATATATTTTAATATACTTAAAGTATAATTAATAATATAAAATTGTTGATAAAATAATAATTCAAATTATTAATAAAAAGTTAGTTTAATGCAACATTTTAATAACAAAAATAAAGGTTGTTTTGATAAAAAAAAAAAAAAAAATTTGCTTTTTGCTTTTATGACCTAGTAGGGTAAACTGGGGTAAAGTGAACTGTTTTTGATATTTAAAGGAAATATTTTCAAAATAAAAGCCAAAACATTTTGCAGTTTTCAAAATTTATACCATTTAAAGTATTAGGTACAATATAAAACAAAATACTAAGATTAAAAGCTACTTTTACAATATTAAATATATATTCAAAAAAAACATGTCCACTAGTTCACTTTACCCCCACATTGGGGTAAAGTGAACTACTTCATCTTTAACTCTTTTGTGTTTGTTATTTCTAATAAATTAGTTTTTTTATTTTGTATTTTGCCTTGCTGCTTGATCTTTCTTTTAAAGCATTCGTTTTCTTCATCATTTAATCTTTTAAATGCATCTTCTGATGTAAGACACTCACCTCCATAGTGTCTTTTTATTTTTTTTGTAGGTCGTTTGTTGTATGAACGACCATCACCCTTTGTGGCCATTAACTGTTCTTTCACTATTTCTCTAATGATTTTATTTCCAGTAGAACAATCTACATTTGATATTGATAGTTGATTTATTTTTTCATTGTTTAAGTCTTTTCCTACTGATATTATAGTTTTTTGTGAATTGTATTTATTTGTTGATTCAATAGAAAAATTTTCACAAGTATCGTTCTGATCATTGACATTGGTGTCTAAAACGATGTTTTGCGACGTTATTATTATAGTTATTTGTTTTCTGAGAAAAAGGGTGTTCATAGATTTCAGAAGGATTTAACTTGTCAGATGCTATAGCAGATGGATCAAAGGGAAAAATTCCAGTTTTGGCAAAGGATTGTACTAAATGAGCTGGCTTAAAGGAGGTATCATAAAGTTTTTTTAATAAAGATGGAAAAACAGATTTCCCAACCACCTTCAGCCTTGACTCGGTATACCAATTGGCCAGAATTTCACGCCATACATGTTTAACTTGGCGAAAGACTCCTACATCAAGTGGCTGAAGCAAATGCGAACAGTGTGCTGGCAAACACAAAATAGTTATATGATTTTCAACTGCTTTTTTAACAGTTTCTAAAGAAATATGACTAATGTGACCATCAAAGATAAGCAAAACAGGCTTGGGTGTGTCTTTCAACCATAAAACAAGATGGTTAAAGTATTCAGTGAAAACTTCTGTTTCCATCCAACCGTTTTTTGTCACCCCATATAAGGAACCATTTGGTCCACCAGTCATCCACTCTTTATACAAATTCTTCCCAGCAAATAAAATAAATGGAGGAAAATTTCTTCCTGCAGCTGATATTGTTGCTAGTACAGTAAACTGTTCTTTTCCTGATCCAGGAGCAATAGATACAGGGTTTTTAATACCTCTTTTGCAAATAATTTTTTTATTTATTGGGTTAGTGCAAAACCCACTTTCATCGCAGTTTAGTATTTGGGCAGATCTATTCATAATGTCACATTTTTCCAATGTTGCTTTAAGTAATAAAAACCAAGCATCAATTACAGTTTTATTACAAGCTAAGGCTCTTGTTAATGTCAAAAGCTCTGGAGTTCTTATAGATATTTCTTTCTGCCAACGATTTAAAAAATTACAAAACCACTGATCACCAGCAACACCATTAACAAATTTTTTCTGAAATCCGTTTAATTCAATATACGTTTGAACAAGTTTCATAAATTGTTTTTTATCTAATCCAAATCCAAAATCAGAAAATGCAGATAAAAGTGAAACAAGATCTTTTTCAGCATCAGCAGATAATCGGTTTGGTCGCCCTTCACCAACTTTTGAGCATTTTATGCCTAGAAGATGTCTTGCAATTGTACTTCTTGGAACACCATATTCTTTTAATGCAGCATACGAAGTCATTTCTTTATTTTTAACTTTCGAAATGGCATTTTGCAACAAATTAGGTGCATATGTTTTTCTTCGAGATTCTTTTTTCTTAATGTAGTTTCTTGGCATTATTTCAATATATTATATTTCTGAAAATAATTTTAAGAATATTTAAAAAAAAAACAACTTATTTTAAGAGTAAACAATTTAGTTAAGTAATTACAATTTATATATTCAGTTCTACTAAAAATATTTGATGAAAAAACATAAGAAAAAGACTAGTTCACTTTACCCCCAATAGGCAGAAAAATAAGGGGTAAAGTGAACTAAATTGATTTACAAACTAAAAGCTTAGCTTTTTTATATTATGATAAAAACTACAATTTTTTTTTAACAGCATTATATTATCTTTAAAATGTATATAAATTATATAACTGATGTTCGCATTAATAACAACAAATCATGAATTTACTAAAACCCATAGCAAAGTTTGAGATCGTAATTTTAAAACTTCCGCCAAACTCGCTTTTTAAAATGGCTATTACATCAAAACAAAGGCTATATTTTATTAATTTTTTTATTTAAAAAATTTCAAAATGTTGTATTAAGCAAAAATAATGCTAAATTACTTAACAAAAAGTTTTTTAAACATGATAACTTTTTAGTTTAAAAAAATAGTTCACTTTACCCCTAGTTCACTTTACCCCAGTTTACCCTACCAATATAAAGTTAATTTGCTAATAATAATAATAGTAATGCTAATAAGCTAATAATGATTTATTTACTAATAACCCATATTACGGGTTGCTTACTGCTAGGTTTATAATGAATATTATAAACAAAAAGAATCTAAACCCTTTTAATGCATTTGTTAATATAGCTGTTGATGGAGGAGAAAGTTGAAAGTTGCCTGTAATGTGTTTATTCTTGGCCATCTCAGCTATAGTTGAGGTCATTCATAAATCTAACTAGAACTTAGGATAAACCATCAAAACTTAAGCTGGAAAAAGTAAAGTTTTATATAGTCTTCACACACAAAATATGTTGATAATGAACAGAACTCTTTGAACTCAACCTTAAAACATTTAGAAATATTGATAATTGAGCTTAGTAATATTAAATATAACAATGGATTTCCAAAAATTTATTATTTTATAGTTTAATGAATATCTGACTAGAAGAATGCTACCTTTTAAACATAATTTTATCACCAAATAATAAGAAAGTCATTGTCGCTAAACTTTTTTGAATGTTTTTTTTTACTGTTTGGCAGTTTTTATAATTTATTACTCTTTGAAGTTACTATGGAATTGGATGGGATAGAATTAACGCAGAATACCATTATACTAAAGTTTCAATAAAAGAAGTTACTTCTTTCATTAAAACATTAGTACAATGGTGTAAATTAAATGTATACACTTTATCATTGAATAAGGAAAATCATCTTAACTAGAACTATTATCTCATATCAGCCAAAGTTTGACTTGACTGGAATTTGCTTTAGTCAAACATTTGTTAAATTAAAACAAATTTCTTGGTTCCTCGAAGGTTTGAATTATTGGAAATTAACTTTATCTATATTTTAAATTTTGACAGTTATTATATCATATTACTTTTTGAAGTTACCATTGGAATTAGATGGGATAGATTATCGCAGAATACTTAAAAAAATAGATTCCCTTGAACAAGCAGTGATAAAGGAAATCCCAATATACTAATAAAATATAAATATAAAATAAGATTTTTTTTGTGTGCGCTATTATAAATAACATCAAAATTCATCATAAAATTTTTGTAATGTTTAAAACTGGTAACCACATAGGAAAAAAAACCCTAAAATTAAAGAGGCTATTTTTTTAATATTTAAAAACTGAAAACTCAGTGAGTGCATTAAACAATTTAAATAAAATCTTACATTAATATATAAAAAAAACACTTAAAAAAAGTTAATGCATAATTATAAAAAGTATATATATTTTTTAAATTTCACCCTCTTACATAAAGTTTAAAAAAAAAAAATTATTTACTATTTTTTGATAGCTTATATAATCTCTTTTGTTTTTGTTATATATATATTTTTTAAATCTTCAAGTCAATCAGTGTTTGAGTTTTGTTTTTTTATGATTTAAAGTTATAAAATATCCATAAAGGTTACTATAAAAAGCAGCATTTAAAACAAAAATGTTCTATCTTATATACTTATAAGCACAAAATAAAGGCGTTAAGTTTGAATACCTCCCACAACCATTTCCTTATCCCTCCTACACACATACCCAAAAAAAATTAGAAAAAAATATTTAGTACAAGTTAAAGTAGCCAAAATGAAAACTTAGTTTAATCTGTTATGAAAGGCTTTTCCTGAAAATTTTTATAAACCTTTTTATGGTAAAATCTTTTTTAAGTTGAAATATAACTTTTAAACAAAATGCAAAAAACTTACCTATCTAAAGTTAAATTATCCAATTTTCTAAGTTTATCCATAATAGGTTGCAGCCCCAACATTAAAAACTCAAAACGAAGATGAATACGAAATTCTAAATGCTCCTAATTTTTAAACAATATCAGAGTTATATCACATACATATAGTTATTATTGTCATAAGAAACAAAATATATTCACAAAATAATTGCACTTGAAAAAAAAAAACATACTGCACCAGCACCATATCGTAGAGCAGCATTAATGAATGACATAATAGCAATCTTTGATGCAAACTCATCTTTATGCAATCCAGAGGTTCTATCAAGATCATTTACTAGAGACTAAAAAAATATTTCAAGTTAAATGTATTTAAAAAGAACAATATATATTAAAAAAAAAAAGTAAATGGTGAAGATTTAGGATAAGATTCAAATGAAATTGTATCTTGGAATTCCATCAAGCACATCAAGGAATTTAGTTTTTAACTTGATATATGATCTATAGTTTTTAAAAAAGTCTCACATTATTATTCACAAATGTATTTTTTATTTAGCTATTTATATAACTTTTTATATAAGAGCCTAATGGATCACTGACACACATGACCTAAATATTTTTTTATGTAACAATAAACCAATTAGTCATAAAATCAGTTTCTTTCTTTATCCTTATGCCGTTCTCATTTTAAATCTGATATTCCCATTCTTCCCAAGTCAATTATCTATAAGATAACTGCTTCTGTGATTTTTTTATGATTGTCTTAAAATTGAGATTGTAAATCTCTAAATATCAAAAATAAGGTTATCAAAAATAAGGTTGTTATGTGATAAAAAATAAGGTTGTTATGTGATAAAAAATGTGATTCTTAAGAGATAGGCTATCAAATGTGATTTTTATGTGATTCAATTCAGTCAGACAAAAACTTTTATTTTTTCAGAAACTGTGTCAAGTTTTACTATTCTCCATTTTGAATATTATTTTTAACTTGTTTGTTGTTTTAAATTGCAATTATTAAATTTATTCTTTTCACCAAAAAACATATGCAAGATATAAGATAAAAGGAAAATGCATAAAAAGTCCAAAAAAATCATTTTGAGCTAATGAACAAATAAGTTTTTGTGTAATAGTTGAAATAAAAAATCTTAACAACTCATTAATAATTGATTTATTAAATTTGTGTGGTATATCAAACGATAGAGAATTTACAATACTAAATATTGGTATGAAAACTCCATAATGCCTAAAATGGACTTGTGCATTTCCCTTGTATCATTTGTTGTATACCAACAAAATATACTTTTGTTTAATAATAACTTTCATTATTCTCAGATGAGTCTTTGAAGATCAAAAAAATCTTTTGTATTATTTCAAAAGTTAAGCTATAGAAAATCATAAATGTTTCAATTATTAATTGAATTAGAAATTATTTAAAAAAACTTTTTTAATTTTCTTACAAAGACTTCAATCTAAAGGTTCCTAAGTTGGGGGAAATTATATTTACAGTAATTTTTACAATATAATTACAAAAAATTACAATTTTTACAATATTTACAATATATTACAAACACAATATATTTACAATAATAGTATATAGTTGAAAAAGTATACACTTATAGTAAATAGTAATAGTAATATTTACAGTAGCCTTTAATATTTCTTAAGTGTTTCTTAATAAAAATGTTTTTAAACATTATAATATTTTTTTACCTGATCTTTTGCTTTTTATCTTAATTTTAATATTTACTAATTTATTATTACATTATTGAACTCTATTTTATTTATCCAACAAAAAAAACTCAAGAATCTATTTTTATCTATTTGTATATAAAAATTACACTTCGTTAGCATTACACTTTTTAACAACTTTTTCTAAATATAATTGAATAACACCTATTTAATGGAAATAGATTTCAAAAAATGTTAAACTTTAATAAATAACCTGTTTAAAACTTTTGTTTCATTTATAATATATAAATTATTATGAGTTGAAGAAGTATAGAAGAGATTACACTTGGTTTGATCTTGGTCTTGGTCTTTTTTTTTTTTTTTTTCAATGAACTATGTTATAATTTGTTACCTGAAATCTAGATCTTTCTTCTGCATATAGTTGAAAATGACACATGGCATCCAAAACCTTTTTATGGCCTCCAGGTACAAGGCAGCATGCTCCCAAAATTTCAAGAACTAGAGTATATTAAAATATATTTGTCATAGGAAAAAAATTATCTAGCTAATTTTATTGTAAAACTATAATTATACTTTAAATAATTGTAATAAGAAAATATAATTTGCAAAAACTAATTTGAAAACAAATGTAAACCATAAAGATTTTTCATACAAGTTTAAAAAGATTTGAAAACTAAATTATTTATGTTATATAAATATATGTAGAAAGATTTAAAAACTAAATTATTTGTATATATATATATATATATATATATATATATATATATATATATATATATATATATATATATATATATATATATATATATATATATATATATATATATATATATATATATATATATATGAGTGCCTCTAAAAACAACTTTTTTTGAAACTGTCTGCTACCACCCCCTAAATGTGTCCTATGTAATAAATAAACACTAAATTAAAAAAAAAAAAATTCTTTTTGAAGAACTTTTTTTTTGAAAAAAAAAAGTTCTTCAAAATTATATCATGTTGGGCCTCAAAAGAAGTAAATTTTAAAATTTCAAAAATAATAAAAACAATTTATGAAAACACAAATTAAAAGTTTACTTAAAAAAAAACTTTGAAAATATTTAAATTTCGTTTAAAAATAATAAAAGTTTTTACTTTTTCTTTTTTTTGAATGTGGGACATGTTTTTGAATTTGTTTATTTTTTGCTATTTTAATAAATATTTAAAAAAAAAAAAATTTAATTATTCTGTTATAAACTTTCATAAACTATTTATAGAGCACTCTCGTTTAATTGCATACAAAGTACAGAGATTTATTGATTTTATCCTTTTGTGATTTTTGTTATTATCTTTATTTAAAACATTTATTATCTTTAAACAAGACTATTTATTTATTATCTTTATTGATGACTCTACAGAGTTAATAACATTAAATTTAAAACATTTGTTTAAAGTTTGTATTGTAATTTTATAAGAATAATTTTATAAGATCTTTATATTTTATTAAAATGCATTGAACTTTTTCTTTTTAATTTGATGAAATTCATTAAAATAAAAATAAATATAATTTTTTTTATGTTTAAATATAAAAATGACTATCGATGACTAAAAATTATTTAATAAAGTATATTTATTTAGAAAATGTTTCATAAAATTAAATTATTATATCTTTATTATAAATAATGATAAAAATCGATTACATTAGAATAAATAACTATATTTTAATTACATTATTAAACTAAATTTAAGTTATTTTATTAGGCTTTTCTTTGTATTTTATTGGAATATTCACAGTTTAAAAAATAAAAATAAAACTACCCTTTAATATACCTTCTCATGTGATTTGCAAAGCTTCTTGTGCTAAATGAATTTTAACTTTTAACTTTTTTACAAAACTATTAAAAAATCTTGGTTACAAAACCTTTATATAATTTAACTTTCCATATATTAGTACTAATAACCTTTTAAAATGTAAAGCTTGTATTATTTATCTATGCAATAGTATCAAATGCAACAACATCACTGCAAAATTATCAATGCAGCAGTATCATTTTAATGTATATATTCTTTTATACTCTATAATCAATCTTTATCTCTATAAATCTCTATTGATTTTATATTTATAATTTTTATTAATAATTAGCAATATTTCATTTATTTTACAAATTATTTTTAGATACTTAAAGAGTTTAAAAATAATTTATCAATACTCCAAAGCAATGTAAATAAAATTGCAAAATTTTAGTTTGATTATTTTGAGGCATTATAAAATACTATTCAATACAAGATAAATATTGTTTTGTTAACAACAATACTTGTATTAGGATAGTTATATATGAAAAAGTATTGCAAACTCTTTTAACATATACAAAAAACAAGGATAAAAACTTTTCACTGAGTTATAAAACAAACAAATTGCTTTAAATATTTTCAAACTTATATTTACCTTTCTGCTTTGCAAAGATTAAGGCAAAGGCTATGAGAAGATAACATTGAAAAACAAAACTGGTGCGTTGATTGAGTATAGGTTAGTCTAGAGATTGAAGAAGAAAGGTTAGTTGAGATTAACACTACTTTTATTTAACACTATTTTCTTCTACATATAAGTAGTGAAACAAAAATTACAAACTATTTAAAAGCAAGGCTAATGTTAGAATATATTTTCAAGACTAATGTGTGCATATTTTCAACTATGTGTGTGTGTTTATATATATATAAATATATATATATATATATATATATATATATATATATATATATATATATATATATATATATATATATATATATATATATATATATATATATATATATATATATATATATATATATATATAAAATCCTTCATCAGTAACAACTCAATAAATATTTCTAAATACAGATTTATAATCAATATTTATGAATACAGATTTATAATCAATAAATATTTATTAATACAGATTTATAATCAATAAATATTTATGAATACAGATTTATAATCAATAAATATTTATGAATAAAGATTTATAATCAATAAATATTTATCAATACAGATTTATAATCAATAAATATTTATCAATACAGATTTCATATAACTTATTCAGTTTATTAGATAGCTTATTTTAGGCATGAATGTTTTTACTATTACTTATATATTTATAATTATGCTATTTTTTACATGAAAACAACATACATTCATTAGTATGTTGTTTTCAGGATGCTGGCTCTATATATTTATCATTAATGGTAATAATAGTAGAAAGTTTTCAAAGTCTCAAGAATGTTGATGCAGACACAACTTTTGAACCAGATTCTCGAGTTTTTAAACAATCAACAAATATAAAAAAAAAATTAAAAAAGAAGACAATTCACACACAATAATCTTTCAGTAAAAAAAATATGTCTATCTCTTTAATATCAATAGCAAAGACATTAAAGCAAATGTACAAATAAAGCTGCATTCTTGCCATAATCCAAAAATAATTTATGGTGTATTTAAAGGTTATATCCAAATAACTTCTGCATTATGCAGCAAGGAACACCAGGAATAAGAGTTTCTTACAGAAAGGTTTAAAGAAAATGGTTATAATAAAAAAATACTTCAAATTGATATAATGTTCGCACCATTGTGATATAATGCAAATGTCTTTAAATGAGAGCAAATGTAAAGCAATTCACATTGGGAAATCAAATCAAAAGTATAATTATCAGGTAAATGGCATCAATTATTAAAGGTAGAGTTTGAGAAAGACCTAGGAGTGATCATCAGCGCTGACTTAAAGTGGGACCGGCAAATCCATTCAGTAATAGCAACGTCAAATCGTATATTGGTCAGCTTAATAATTCATTCAAATACATTAACATTACCACTTTATATCAATAAATACATTTCTAATATCAAATACATTAACATTACCAAAAAAAATTGAATCAGTCCAAAGAAGGGCAATTAAACTAGTCCAAGAAATTAGTGGTAACCCAGTGTTGTCAGACCGCTGCATTGGTCTGACAACACTGGAAGAAAGATGATTAAAAGGAGACCAAATACAACAATTCAAAATTAAAAATGGACTAAATAAAATAAATTTATATTCTAGTTTAATCCAAGAAAAATACAATCATGGCACAAAACACAAAAAACTTTCTAACCAGAGAACGAAACAAGTCTGATATCCGGTACAACTTCTTCACAAACAGGATAGTCAAATAATGGAATCAACTGCCAGTATACTGTCAAAACTCAAAAACAACAAACATTTTTAAAAACAATTATGACAATTATGTAAAAAATGCATATTTACAACTACCATAAATGGTCTTTATATAGCCATTTCTCACGATGTCGTTGTAGTTTGATAATAATAATAATGATAAAAATTATTGTCAAAAAAATCAATAAGCAAAATAATCAGCAAAACAACAAAATCAAAAAGTAGAGAATTTAAATGTCATTTTTAATTAAGTATTCAATTAAAAACAAAATTTAAAGTCTCCGATTAAAATCTCCGATTACTCCAGTTTTCCATTAACCAAAAACTTCCAATCTCTAAACAATATCTTGTATTTGCTTTGGGGTACATTATTTAGTACTTACTTTAGGTAATTTGTAATCAACCTATAGGATCAAAATTGGTGATAATGCTACTAGGATATTAAATCTCTGCATTTTTTTACTATTCACGATTTGACTATGTGATCATGTGTGAACAGGTATTACATCTTGAAACTACCAATATTCATTTTAACCAATCAGTATGTCTGTTGATAAAACAATAGAATTCTCTAGAATATCTGTCTATGCTGTTTGATTTAATCTGTATAAATTTTGCTTAAGTTCATAAGAATTAAAGAGGTAAATGCTCTCATTTTTATGATAAAATATTTTTAGAATAAGTCTGAAGCAATGCATTTATCAGTTGCCGATAATAATTATTATCTTATATCTGTAATTTATTGTGGATAAAAGGTAATAATAATAACTTTAAAGGTATTTGTAATGATTCTATTCTTATATAATTTAAAAGCATCAAAATAATCAAAAAACATATATTAATACATAGATAAACAAACTTACATATGACAATATTAAGTTTTTTAACAAAATTTTAAAACATTAACTACCTGCAGTTTTAGTTTTAAGATTTTCTGTAATAAGACTTTGAGCAATGATATTAATACAATTTGGGTGAGCCAAAACTTCAGAACGACCATTCTATAAAGAAATACAAGACAATATTTTTGAATGTCTATATCATTTTATATTTGTTATTAATAATAGCTTAATTAGACAATTATTTAATCCGCAATGTCAATTTTTTAATTTTATCAGCATCAGATTTGGTCTTTTTTTATTTAATGCATCAGTGTTGGCTTTGATATTAAATATATATATATATATATATATATATATATATATATATATATATACATATATATATATATATATATATATATATATATATATATATATATATATATATATATATATATATATATATATATATATTTATATATATATATACATATATATATATATATATATATACATAAATATACATATATATATATATATATATATATATATATATATATATATATATATATATATATATATATATATATATATATATATATATAAGTAGGCAAAGAAACAAATAGCACAAGCAATTTTTGTTTAATTAGTATAAAGTGAACTTAAAATTCAAAGTTAACTTTAACTTTTAAAAGAAAAAAACTATCAATTATTTAAAAATAGCATTATATTGAAGCTTTTTTATTTAAAAATTTTTAAATGAGTTTATACGATGTAGAAAAATCAACTGTGCTTATATTCATCAAATATATACTTGCAAAAAAATAATGGCATAAACAAAAATAATAGGCCAAAAATTACATTTCAATATGTAGTTGGGCCAACCTATGCTAGTATAACTGCTTGCAGATGTTGAGGCATTAACTTCACCTGAGATTTTGTTTCTTCTGGAGTTATTTTCTCCCATGCTTTAACTATGGCTGCTTTTTTGATCATTTTTTTTCCTGTAAGCTCAATCTCCAATTTTCCAGTTTAGAATGTACTACTAATGGTCAATGGGATTAAGGTCAGGAGATTGGGCAGGTCACTGTTCTGTTGAAACACAAAACTATTTTCAAATCTAAATTTCACAAACAGATGGCTTCAAATTTTGCTCTAAAATCTCTATATACAAAGTAGCTTTTATAGTTGATTCAATGAAAATCAGTTTGCCAGCTTCTCGCCATGCCATTGATCCCCACAACATTTACTGCTTCTCTCATGCAACTTAATTTGTATGCCTTGTTTCTGCCATACTTTTTCTGCCCATCTGATAAGATCAGGTTAAATTTGGATTCAACACTTTAAGAAACTATCCAATATTGTTTTATGACACGCATGTTGTGATAAATTAATCAGTTTCATTTAACTAATCAATATCTTTAGCGTTACATGTACATTTTATTTGTTACATGTGTAAATATGTAAACTTACCAAAATTTTACTTTTTTCCCTCAAAATTTCCAAAAAATACTAAAAATTATTGCGCCAAAAATTATTTTGTTTGCAATATACCTGTATACTTACAGTATATGCCTGTGAGCTTTTAATGTTTTTTAAAACAATAATTCTTTGTTAAAATCATGCATAAATACATGCAAAAATCTTCATAACAGTATTAAATGTACATTTAAACAGTTTTTTATTAATATAACCAAAATTTATGTTAAAAAAAAATAATTTCAAAAACTTGCTTATGCCATTAATTCTTTTTGCACCCCAATTTAGATTTTGGTCAATAACACTCAGATTTAAGCTGGTTACATTAGCTTTTGTGGGATCAATAAGGACTGGAATTTTTGACTTGTATAGACAGTGCATTCGACAATTGCTGCCTTGGTTTTTTGCACTGGACCATACACATTACTTGCGTTGGTTATCCGTTCATTTAGCAGATATGATTTAACTGGAAGAAACAAATCCATAAATTGTAAGACTATTTCAGAATAGCATGTTTGTTGTAAACAAAACAAAGAAAAAGTTTTCTTCAATTGGGTTAGACCATACGCATGAGCAAAATAACAAATGCGTCAAAGAAGAAGGAGGTTTTTTTTATTACAATAACAATAAAATGCCCATTTAAGAAGCTTATCTGAAAGTATGAAATTGATTAAAGTTGTTTTGGTAATAGTTTTTTCTTATTTATAAGTGAAACACCCATGCATTAAAAATAAAAAATTTCCAACTTTATTAAAATGCAATTGGATTGATGGAAGATTCCCAAGAACTACTCCGCTGGATGATTTGTGGACCTGAGTTAGCTCAATGTGTTAGCTCAATGAGTTAGCTCGTGTGTTGCTCGAATCAAAGATTCCAAGTAATTGGCAATCATTTCTTTGCATCAATCAGAATAAAAACGAATAATTTAAGTTCCTTTCAGTCCAAGTATCTTGTCTTCAAACAGATAGATTGATTGTTGTGGCTACGAGGGCTCAGTGATATCAAACCAATATATCAACAAATCCAATCTTGAGCCTTGCAAACATGAAGAAGCTATTTGAATTCTTTGAAGAAGCAGACACTTGTATATTTCTTCACACATATGATTTTGCTATAAATAGTGGACTCAAAAAAGCCATGATTAGAACTATAGTTACTGATGTCGTTGTCATTGGTAAAACTTATTATTCATTCTTTAGATTATCTTTAAGTCAGATGATCATAGTTTTCTAATGTTAGGTTTAGCACTTTTTCATAAGCTACATTTAGTAGGATTATGAACTGCATATCTCTAGAGCTGTTTACCAGGCTTCGTATTGCTGGGAACAATCATTGTTTAAGATTCCATCATTGCCTAATCCATGTCAGTGGGGTTGGCCTATGTAAGACAATATTTACAAAATTGTTTGGACAACAATTCTGGAAACTTTCAAAATGTGCAGTGAACTTATACAATGTGGATACAAAATAGAAAAAGCTTGTAGAGGTCTTTGTAAATGTGTAAAAGCATTAATTCCATGTACCATACTTTGCAAATGTGGTGGTGATTGTGAGCATTAAATTCCAAAAGATTTAAATATAACAGGTTTTTAAAGTTTACTTAAAATTTTAAGGAACTTTTGATAACATTGTGTTTTTAACTATTTACTAAATACAAAAATTAAATATGTTAGTTTTATTTAAAAAATTATTTATATATTTTATTAAGATTAAACTATTTGTGTCATAAAAACATTTAATTTTAATTGAAAAATACAATTTGGTACAGAAGTATTACGCTTTTACCCCCTTACTTTTAGGTTTTTAAAGCCCTGCCTCTGGTTACCGATTTATCTTTAACATATTGTGTTTTAATATTTCTTGATGCATTTTTAATGAGCTTTTGATTGATGCATAAATGACTGTTTGTTAAGATTTTTTTTTCGCTATATACATGGTCTGGTTACCATGGAGACAGGTGAAGCTATTTTGGAAGTGGATCTGAGTTTTAAAATGATTATTTAAATATAATCAACATGTAGACCAGGTTTCATGCTTTTACCCCAAACAGAACAAAAATATTTAAATTTGTCTCCAATTGAAATGAGGCTGAAGCTTTTTTGGACATTGTCAAGAAGAGAAAGAGCATCATTAGAAGAACCAACCCAAATATGACAACAGTATTTGATACAGGGACGTATAAGAGATTTGCATAGGTTGAGAATGGAATCAGGAGAGAGAAAATGGTAAGCACATTAAAGAGAAGCAATCGTAGCAAATGCTAATTTAGCAATTTTGTTTTGCATTGTTTGCAGTAGAAGCTGATTCCATCAACAGCTGAGTTTTGCTGGAGTTAAAATTTACAAGCCACTGTGAGCCCCAATCTGTTACAGAAGTGAAATCAGATTCAAGATTGACTGCCTGTTCTAAGCAATCGAAACGAGAAGATTTTTTGTCAAAACAGGAGTATAAAGCAGCAAAAAGATCTACTTTATATGTAAGGTTGTCAGGAAGATCAATAATGTAAATAAGAAACAAAACAGGACCAAGGATAGAACCTTGAGGTACCCCAGAAGTTACTGGAAATTAAAAAGAGTGTCAACCTTCGAGGATGACTTTAATAGAGCAGTTAGAAAAAAATGACTTGATAATTTTTAAAATTTTTCCAGATACACCATTTAAAACAATCTTACGGAGAAGACCAGCATGCCAAACTTTGTCGAAAGCCTTAGATATGTCAAAAGCAATAGTCCTAGCCTCTCCCCCTTCATATAATACACAATAAAATCATAAAGAGTCACAGCAGTTAGCAAGTCAGTCGTAGAGCAAAAGGATCAAAACTCGTATTAATTATCTGACATTAAGTTATTTGGCTCAAGATGAGATATGAGAAATTTGTTGATCAATAACTCATAGACCTTACTAATAACAGAAAGAAGACTTATCAGACAATGATTGGAGGGGTCAGAATGTTTTCCAGAGTTTTTGAAGATAGGAACAACATATGCCATTTTCCACCAGGCAGGAAACAAGACTTAGTCAAGCACTTATTAAATACTTTAAAGAGACTTGAAGAGAGTTCTGCAGAACAATTTTATAAGTCTATGATAGGAATGTTGTCTGGACCACAAGCCGTATAAGAGTTTAATCATGAATGAGAGATGGAATGTTAGACCTTTGTTAATGATGTTGTTGATTAAAATTTTGTTGTTATTTTCCAAAAATCTCTAGAGCATTTTTAAAAATTTCTGGGTCATTTGAAATGGAATTGCCCTCAAACTGTAAATTTTATTAATATCATGTTTTATCAGTAATTATTCATTATCATTACTATATTTTCTTTTTTATACTTGATAAGAGCTGGAGCCGTTAAGCTAAAAAATTTATTTACAATAGTTTAATTAACCGATCTTTCTTCCACTCCTCAAGTTGTATTACTTTTGTTTGTTTTTTGTTTTTAATATGTATTTTTTTGTTTTTTTGTAATTTTAATTATTTTATGTCTCTCTCAGTTTGGTCAACTACTATTCAATATTTGATGGCCAGTTACAACAAATCACCCCTGACTGATTACGAATACGAGAGTGGATTTCTTTATGAGTTTTTCCCTCAGAACCATCTCAAAATAGGTGGTAAAAAGCTGGAGCACAATCTCTAGTTATAATAGAACGAACAAGTTCAGCTACTTCTGAGATGCAAAAAGAAGTGAACTGAGAATAAGA